GCGCTCGCCGAGCTGGACACTGTTGTCTGGGGTCCGCGGGTTTATGTCAGTGTTAAACCTGCTTCCATCAAAACAGCGTGAAAAACCTCATTCTGGTGCTCGACCTGCGCTTCCCATGTCCGAGTTGCCTCTTGTCTCGCCTTCCCGATGGGTTCATTAGCCCGGTCTCTGCCCGGCCAGGACCCCCCGCTCTAAATCCCAGGAACGAGGAGATGACAAAGCGCGGAGCGCTCCGTGAGCACCGCTGCTCACCCCGGCACGGTGCAAACACAAGGCAGCTCTGCTGCCTGGTGTCTTAATACTTAGGTAAGTTTGTACTCCACGGTCTCTGTGGGTATATTTATGCTTCGAAGAACAGCCCTGCCACACACCTCCTGCTCTCTGCTGCCAAGCAAAAAAGTGTCTGTAGCTTGAAGCTCAGCTGTGATCTCAGCCACTTCGGGAAGCGTATGCTGCTTGCTGTGTGTCCTGTGAGGTTCATTTGTGTCAACATACCTTGTGCCTTCTCTCAGCTGCAAGGGGTCCAAAATCTGAGGGTTAAAACAATTATACATTTCACTGCATTACTAAAGTTTACTGGAGTACACATTGGTCCTCTCAGATTTGAGTACCAAAATGCAAAACCTCACTGCATTTGCCTGTGCAACTGCTACAGGATGACTGGTTTTGAAGAAAATAAATGCATAACATGCCCAGCTTGTTCACTGCAGGATGCAGAGGCCTCCTCGCTCTGCAGCAGTAGGGCTAGAAGGCATGAACAGCTTCAACACAACTCAAGAAAACGTTGTTGCCAAGGAAAGAGCAAAATGACAACCTGTTCAGGCCAAAAGTTAAGCCCGCAGAAGCACCCAAATTTCATCGTGAATGAAGTTGTTGCAAGGTCAATTGCTGCAGAAGCTGTAGATAGATGCAGAGGGGCAGGTACAGAGGATGCTCAGCCTGGGAATAAAATTCAATCCTGCAGCCAAGTCAGCAGTTTCTCCCTGCTTTTGCATCATAGTTTTTATGTGGTACTAATCCTACCCCTCCCACTTTGCAGGTGCATACTAATTATGAATTTCAAATATTTCTCACTGCCCAAGTTAATTCTAGGCTCATTTTGCCAACAAGTTTCAGATGTGTTTGCTCACAGAGGATCTACCTGGCTATAGTTTGAAAGCCCAGGTTCACTCTAGGCTCTGAAAGATGCTGCTTATTTTCCCACAACAAGGGAACAAGGGTCACTCCTTGTGCACTGTCCCAAGCCTGTCTCCTTCTCTGGGGAAGAATGAGCAATCTCATTGTGTATTAGATTTAGTACAGTTAAAAATTTTGTATAAATAATAGTTTGCCTATGGTCATCAAATATCACTGACAAAGTTTAACTTTTTTCTATACTTAGTAAAGGAAAATAGAAGTTTTAATAAGACTCTCTTGCATTGAGGGGATGCTTTGCCTGGAAATTTGTTTCCAAGAGATTCAAAGTTTGCAACAAATGTCTTTTGCCAAGAAAATACATGGATTCATGTAGCTCTTGTCTTGTGTAGTCTTTAAGATCATATGCAGATATTCTAAATTGTGTATTGAAAGGCTTGTACAAAGGTACTTTATCTGCTTTTATTTAAAAGCTGTTCTTAGATTATCATGATTAGCATATAGGTCTCTGATATGAAACAGGTCAAACTGTTCATGCTTTTGGATAAGAAAGCACTCTGTAAACCCTGCTCTATCAGACCAGAACAGGAAGGAAGAAAACATTACAAGTGTATTGTATAATTGGCAGGACTCTCACATACCCTGCATTTGTTTGCCTTACAGCGTCACTGTTGCTGTAAGGCAGTTTGTAATCCATATTGAGGCATTTGGTCAGTATTCAAGAGGGACAATTCAGTGTCTGTCATCCAAAACTGTATCCTGCAATGTTTCACTTTCCTCATCCGGTTCCCATACAGATAATATACATATCCGGATTAACCACTAGGACTTGACCAGATTCCAGAATGGTCTGGCACATGTGTACCTGTATTCTCCATTACATTGTACAAAACCACTTTGGGGATATATTTAGCTGTGGCTTAGAAAACAGTACAGGAACAAGAGTTTAGCTTTGCTCTGATTTCACATGACCAAATTTTAATTTTTGTTTGACTGCAAACATACCTCGGGGCTTCCAGATGCTTTCTTGCTTCTAAAGGCCCTAGTGCTTCCTTCTGCATAACATAAAAGCTTCATGACATGCATAGCTGTGTGACACCAAATCTTCATTGCTCACAGGTAGTCTGCTGAAATCAGCAGGACTGTTGATGTGAGCAGCAACTGGTTTTTCATGTCTGCAAAGAGTCGGAAATAGACTGGACATTTTTGGGCTTTATGTTATGAGCAATCAGTCTTACATGGTTTGTAACTGATGCCGAGATGTCGGCTCCTCTTTGTGCCATATGGAGCCTATTTCTTTTGTGTAACCAGCCTCTTGTCTGCACAACATACTTCACTGTCTAATAACTACACAGTTATTTTAGGGAATGTGCTGGGATTTTTGAGTTCCGTAGTCGCAGATGTCATCTGATTATGCATGTAGACAGGAGAGATTTCAATATAAAGGAGAGGGGAGCACGAGATAAAGGGAGCTTAAATGAGAGGAAGAGATAGTATTAAATAATTTAGCTGGAAAAGAACAAAGATATTCAGAATGAACAAGA